TAGATTGTAAGAAATTAGTCCTTTCTATTAAACTCAACCCTATTGATATACTTAAATGAATCTTAAATAGAATAATTTTTATAATTATGAATATATATTTTTAATAATTATTATTTTATACTTTTAAAGTTTACATATATGGGATTTAAAATATATTAATTTAATTACGATCACAATTCAACCGTAATCCAATTATTGATCATTAAATTAGCACCACGACCGAATTAGCAGTCAGGCCAATTTTTAAAAGATTAAATGTTATTTTTGCCTTGAAATTTGTCGTTTAGGAACTACAGATATCTGAACTCGATTTTGAGCCATTATTACCATACCTGAATGTTTGAAATCACCTGCCTCATTATCCCACAATCCATGCTTTTCATAGTGTCACTAGAAAAAATATGTTGGTAAATCAAGTTCACCACATTATTTATAGATTGTTCAATTAAAATATTTTAAGTTATTTAAATAAAATTTTGTGTGATATTTTTTTAATTGATTTTATTTTTATAATAGAATATATATTTGATTTATTATCATTTTCCTTTTTACTATCATTAATATTAAAATCAATTTATATTTAGGATAAAATGCACTTCCTGTACTATATGTAGACATCCAAATGGACAGCCCTAAATGCCATTCAATGACCAGTTTTAAAATTAATATAATCACATGAAGGCATTTTATGCTAATGTTTCTAAAAGTCGAGGAGTTATGACAATAAAAAAAATCATTTAATGTTATTAAAACTTGTTAAATGACAATCGAAACTCCTCATTAAACTTGCTAAATGGTATTTGAAACTCTTAATTAATATTGTAACTCCAAGGACTTGAAACTCAACCGCAATAAAATTGAATATTTTCGGGAAGTCCATTGTGCAAAATTAATTTAATAAAATTGCAAAAATTAATCCAGTATAAAGAACTTAGTGCATCTTTTGCTCGTGCATAGGCAGGCAAATCAGCTATTTTGAACTACTATTGCATTGCATTGGCAAGTCTCGCGCACACAATTTTATTTTTACTCTAAACCCATTTAATAGCTTGCTTTCACTTTTTAGCATATATACACTTGGAGCTTTCGTGTAGGCAATGTAAGACTTTTTTTTTTTGACACAATCACACAATAATTACAACACACTTCATTCATTATTCATACATTAATTCTTGGTACACTCTAATTCTAACAAATCATATTTCTCATGTGATTTGCCATGGTCCATATAGTACAACATACTTGAATTCAATGCATATCGTCATTCATTTCCACATTATAATCCCCTAGTTGTTCCTATTCATTCTAGTGCTCGATTATCCTCTTAATACTATCTCCCATCTCTCCCCTACTTTTCAACAATGGCGACACAATTCAATAAATTTACCCTTACATAGAGGACATGCTTATTTTCTAGTGACAATCCAACAAGGTTTAGTCTACTACCTATTGTCTTCATATTTATGATCGCATCTATACCTTTAAACCAGTCGATAACACAATTCAATAGTTATATTATAATTCTCTTTCTTCATTTCCTGGCTTTCTTTTGTTTGCCAAGCTTCAACTCTAGACCTCCTTCTTCAGGAGAGAAAAAAATTGGGCAAATTATTCAACTCACTTTCATATTGACATAGTCGGTTGGGGACACAAGGCGTACCAACTAAATAGATGGGTTTGTTCATTACTCATCAGGGAAAAAAAAAATCAAACTTCATAAGAAAAACACATTTTTTTACCTTCAACTAACTATTTCCTCCTCCTATTCCGTACTCTTCGTTAACATTTAACTTTATCTCTCTTATTTGCAACATAATTACATTATTTTAAGGCACAATTCCATTAAAAAAATCACGCTAAGTTTTACATTTTTTCTTCCCAAGAATGCGACCCACCTTAGAAGAAATAGGTACATAAGTTAGACAAACATCTATATGAAAGAGAATTAATTGTGTAATGAATATATATTGCTAACAACTACATACTAAATGCACAGACACAATCATCAAATTGTTGAAAATTGTACTTTATAGCTAATTATTGTACTATAAACATTATTATTTAATGAATTTTTTTGTTATTATCATATTAATTTCACGTTCACTATAATAACTGTATACTTAGATAAGCCATAATGATTATTCTAAATATTTTTAATCGATCATCTATGAGGGATTATAGATGAAACAAGACTAGTATGACTTTAATTAATTAGAGAGATATAAATCAAAGTCATAGGCACTTGAAAAGATTTGAGGTATTAGACCAACCTGCTATAAAAGAAGCTGCATGGTACAAGTCATAAGATTATCTCATATGTAACCATGCCACTAAGTCCTTTGACCTGAGATCATCATGGATTCCTACATGATGACTACTAAATTTTAACCTAATTAAAAGTCACCTTTAATCGAGTGATCATAAAGGTTATGATTAAATTTAGTGATATTCATGTAGAGGAATATGAGCAGTCAAGATAAAATTTTTCTTTTGCATTAATTAAGAGATATTACTAGGCCCCTCGATGAGTAAGATTGAAAAAATTTATAGCTATACTACAATGAAAAGGGTTTTTTTATTGTTATAGTTAGTTCACTCAAAGATCAAAAAAGTAATGGTTAGGTAAAGAAGAATGACAATTCTATGTCTCACACTTAACCGAAATATCACATGACAAAAGGGATGTAATACGGTTATGTAATAGGTTACATTGAATTATTGATCCTTATATAAATTAGGTAGTTGTAATGTTTTGCTAGAGGCCACTTGTGACTTATAGGCTAGTAGCATAATTAACCTACTACCAACTTCATATGGGCCTATAAAGTTACACACAAGAATACCAACTCAAGTTGTAATGTCCAAATTCATTAAATTTGAAATATATCTAAATTCAATGAATACTTTATCTAGAATGAATGAATTATATATATATATATATATATGTATGTATGTATGTATCTATATATATGTATGTATGTATGTATTTGAATATTTATTTGATAAATATATATATAATATAAAATTTAAAATATAATTATATATAAATATATATATATATATATTTAAAATATATATATATATATATATATGTATATGTATGTATTCGTGTGTGTGTGTATGATGTGTGTATATATGTATATATGTATGTATGTAATATATAAAATTCAAAATATAATATAATATATATTTGAAATATATATATATGTATATGTATATCCATGTGTATATATATATGTATATCTTATGTATATATATATTATATTATATTATATTATCATGTTAGTTTTAAATTTAGTTTTATATGATAAAATTTTAAATTTAATAACTAACATGATATTAGAAGATATTATATCAGTTCTATAATTTGAATTTATGAGATAAATTTAAATTAGATATCATATCATAAATTAAATTCATGAGATAAATTTAATTTTATTTTTACTAGCTCAAGATATGATTTTTGAAATAATTATGATTATTTTTAAAAAATTTAAAAAAGAAGACAAAAACCTTAATCTATATATAATATAGAGAAGGGGACGTGCTTTATGGAAGTGAAAAAAAAATAGAGAGAGTCTGTTGGCGGCAAAACTCTGAGAGCCATGAAAATTCCCTAAAAAACAAAAAGATGTTTGATTAATGAACAGACAGACATTAGATACAGAGAGCGCTAACACGCTATTCGTGTTAGAAAGCTGTTTGTGTGAATACCAATAAAGAGAGCAGATCTATATTGTCAACTCTTGAGATCCAACTACTTGAAAATAACATGTGAAAAGTTCAAAATAAAAAGTAACTTTTCTATTCATTTTGACTTAAACAAATTCGATTGGTCTGTGATCGTAATTAGGATTTAAAATTTTTAATCTTTCATTGTGCCTCCTAACCAAACACAAATCTCAAAATTCGAGAATTTGATACTAAAATATAATCCCTCAACTTTAACTTCATAACTAATCATGTACTTAACCATAAATAAATACTGGTAACTAAAATCAAACTAATCATTTAAAAATATTTACCATGATAGAAAGAGTTGACATTAGACAAAGAATCTAAGAAACATGGTGAAGTGCAAATTATTCTGTTAAAAATTAGGATCTCAAATTTATTTAAAGTCAGAACCAAGTTTGAAGGGTCATTCAACCCCTAAAAATAGAGTATAAAAACATAAACATGTTTGAAAAGCATGGGAATCAATTGAGCTAAAAAACAAATTAAAATGAGGTCGAATGAAGTCAAAACATCAATACTATGCACATCTATTACACCTAATGTCACATGTTATGACATGTGACATAAAGAAGGTTTGCCACGGCCAATGAGTCCATAAAAGCATAAAAGTATGGGAATCAATTGAGCTTAAAAACAAATTAAAATAAGGTCGAATGAAGTCAAAACATCAATACTATGCACATCCATTGCACGTAATGTCACGTGTTATGGCACGTGTTTGGCATTTGTCATGACAAGTGTTGGTGAGACTTTTTGAAATTTAGGATGGTTGTAGGGACTTAATAGTAATTTTATTAATAATAATTGTATAAGTATTAGTCACAAATAAATAAGCAACTATTTAAACATTAACAAGTAATCACATGTTAGTAACAAGTGAGATGAATATTCATTTAGTTGTATTTCCCGTTTAGCTATGTTTTTGATTAACTTAATAGGGATAATTAGATCTTTCCCTCCTAAATTTTATTTTTAGTCAAGTGTTAAGATGTAATGATATTTTAAAATTATAAGGTCTTTCTTTTCTATTAAAAAACTATAGGAGTTCTTATGTGATATTTTCCCTATTTTTAGTGACATAATTTTGAGTTTATAATTAATTTTAAAATGTGTAAAAATATTTAAATATTTTTAAAAAATAATTTTGAGTTTATAATTGAATATAAATAAATTTTATTAATAATCAATTCTATCTAATATTTCAAATAAAAAGAAAAGAATCTTTCTCATGGAGAAGGAACACACTTAACGCATCAAGCGAAAAACCCATAGATAAACTTTCCTTTTTTTCCCACTTAAACAGAGTGTCAGTCCAAGAAAATGAAGGATTAAACACAAAACGCGACGTCTTGGCCCAAAAAAACACACAAACCACAATGGCATGATCCCTGTGGTGGTTGGCCCCAAAATATAAAAACAAAAGCGAGCTAAAATATCTGGTTTGGCCCATGAAATGAAATGCAATTGACAAAACCGAACCGATAAACTGCGGTCCGGTCTTTCCTGAATCAAGCGCCCGGAGCCGCGTCCTTCACCTTGCCTTGCAAATACCCGCCGTATTCCCTAGCGCAGTCCTTCACATGGCTCGCCGTGTCAAAAATCCGGGTCCTAGCATAGTCGATCCGGCCCGAACCGGGGGGGTTAAGCCCCCGGAAGTATCGGTACATCCATGAGAGTACAGCGACAACGACCACCCCAAATCCACACATGGACAAGAAACCCGCGGCGACGATGAACAGAACGGTTCCGACCGGGACCCATATTGGACTCGATACGATGATCAAAGGCGCAAAGAACATCAAACCCAGAACGGCACCGGCGACGGTTAGGCCCGTAAGGAGGAGCAAGACGGTTCCGGTGATTAAAAGCGTCAAGAGTCCTATCAGCTGGATGGAGTTCGGGGCATGCTCATGAAGTCTTTGAAGAAATGTGGATGAGTTATGGGAAGGAACTGTGGCTCTCTGATTGTGGACTGAACTTGCAGAAGTGTCAGCCATGATGGGGAGAGCTGAAGGTCTATGGAGAAAGGAAAAAGAGAGTGGTTAAAGTCAAAAAAAAAAACAGAGAGAGAGAGAGAGAATGTGTTAAGAGAAACGGATGGGGAAGGAAGGGCCCTGTATTGGGGACACGCAAGGGTACACGTGGAGGAGGGAATTCCTAGGTTTGACACCGAGACTCGTTCTTTCATCAAGGAGGGATTGGTGCGGGGATCAGCTGTGCTGTGGCGTAGTCAAGGATGGTAGCCCAGCAATTTGATCCAGCCATAGGTACTGTTCATGTGAAAGCTTCCTACGCTTGATTTTGGAACTTTGGTTTTGGAGAGTTCAGAGTTTCTAGGTACGAAACATAGGCTCAATTACAGCTGAAGAAACGGGTTGAATATGCAAACTAACCTGTTTAACTCATAAATTTTGATAAATTGAGTTGAAAAAATTAGATCATTTTTTAAAATAAAATGATGAGTTAAAATAAGCTGACTCGCAGGTTAGCCTATTTTAAAAAAAATAATTTATTTTTTTAATCATAATATATCTCTTTATAAATCTATAATAATGATTATATTTCTCAAATTTATAATTTATGAATCTCAATCATGTTCTTTACATTTAAAAGATAATGTAAATATTTTTTACAATTTATAAATAAAATTTTTATTATAATTTGTAAATTAATTATTTATTAATTTTTATAGAAATATTTTGAATATATATTATTTATTAATCTCATAAGATATATTGATTGAAATTATAAATATAAATTCATTGATAAAAATAATTTAGATTTATATTCAAATTTTATTTTTAAAAATAATATGAGAAAAATCATTATCTATATATATGATATGTTGATTATAATTTTTAAATAATTGTAAAAAATAAAATCACATTTTGTGGGTTGGCCCGCGAGCTCGCTAGCCCGTCAATGTGCAGGTTGGATTGAATTTTTTTAACTCGTTTATCTTAGCGGGCTAGCCCAACCTAACCCGCTAATGCGCTAACCTATGCGAGCTGGCCTGCAACCCATTTACACAACTTTAGGCTCAATAACTAAGGCCTTGTTTGATAGGCAAATGTTAACCTCTAGAAGTTCATGTTATTTCATCACATTTTTCTTAGATTCTAATCCATTTTAGTTCAATTGTATATATTTTTATTGCCCAAGTTAGGAAAATGTGCATTTTGTTTTGGGTTTGTGTTCTTGGCTTTAATTTGATATTTTTAGCCTAATTTCATGTTATTTTGATTAGAAGCGTTTCTGGAGCTTTGTGGATATTTTTGGAAGGCGTTTGGATGAAGAAATCAAGAGCTAATTGAATGATTTTCGTTAGCTATAAAAACAGTGCAAAACTGTCAAAGTCGTCCCAAAGTCGTGACTTTCGTTCACGACTTTCACCGCTGTCAGAAAAACGCTGCGTTTCATTTATCAGAAATTAGTTGGCTAGAATACATATAAGCTGAGAGCTCGACCCAGAACGCATTCTTCAGACTTTTTGACACTTTTAGAGCTTGGTTGTGCTAGGGTTTGGGCATTGGAAGAGTTAGGATCAAGAGATTGAAGCTTTGAAGACATTTGGAGCTCATTTTCTTTGGTTTTTCTATTCCTCTTCCATTTCCTCTCTTGTAATCTGAAATGGGTCCACTTATTTTGTATATTTATAGCTTGTGGATGATTATGAATAGCTAAACCCTTTGTTCTAGGATTATTTGGAACCCTTGTATGGATTAACACCATATTTCTCCTCTCTTTTTATGATTAATGATATATATGTGTTTATTTTACTCTTTCCTTAATGCTTCTACTTGATTGGCCACCATTTAGATGTTGGGTTCACTTAATTGATGCTTGAGAGGGTTAGGTTGAGTGTAGAACTTGGGTAAAATTGTGTAAGAACTTGATATTTGCATGTTGAATGGATGGTTTTGTTAGTATGATAGAGATATACTTGCTAGCCTTGCATAGCCACATTAGGGTTGGTATTTAAAATTGAGTTTTATTAATTGTAACAAGAGATTGGGCAATTAATTTAACTAAACACTTGTTTATGACTTGAGAGAGCTTGTCCAAGTATTTTTAGAACCCTAGGTTAGCACTTATTTTCATTAAAAGCATTTATGAGAAGAGGTAATTTTGGTATTATGAAATGCAAGAGGGACAATTAATCCTAGGTCTCAATTTGTGTTGAAAGTTTGTGAATCACTCACTTTCTTAATTTTCTCGTGTTAGTTTCATTTGCAAAACCATTTCACTTAACTTTGTGTAGCTCAACTTGATCAAATTTACTTAGTCTCTTGCTTGATCATTGTTTTTGAACAAATCCTCGAGGAAACAATACTTTACTTTCATTATATTACTTGCTACAATCCGTACACTTGCGGTGAGCAACAGCAAACTTCACTTCAAAAGAATTGGGATTGATAGTAAGTATAGGAGTAAGAATGATTTTTTAAAATTATATTTGAGATGGAGTAATATTTATAAGAAATATTTATTTTTATTTTATTTTACAATTAAATATAAATTGTAAAAAGATTATAATATCCCTTAAAATAGTTACTTTTATGCTGTTGCTGTTGTTGTTGTTGTTAGGGTTAAAGTGCATTTCTCCCCTTATTTCTTTCAAGGAACGTTGGGCCCATATATTAATAAGTATGTCATTTTTTTCCTAAATCATTTTTTAGAAGAATAAAAATTTTCCTCCATTAACAAATCATAATGGAGGAAAATGGTTGCTCCTTTAAAAAATTGTTTAGAAAAAAAAAATTCCACTTATTAATATAAAATACTCAGCACTCATCAAAAAAAAGTATACAAGGAAAAACATTGTACTTTAACCATAACAAAGATGCCCTCCATCCCTTATCTTGTTTTTTCATAAGCATAATTTCATGTCACGATGGATTCGTGGTCAAAATAAATCATATGATAGATTCAATCAAGTAGTCTCATTGGAATTCATCTCATTCTATGTTCTCACTTGGTGTTTAAATATAAACAAGACCAAAACTTATATATACTTATTATTATATATTTAATATGTTTTTATTCATTTAAATTAAAACATGTGAATTTTAATGTGTTAATAATATGAATAACAATAATTTAGTATAGAATAAATAATTTATAAAAGATATACATATCTTAATTTAATTAAAAATAAGTACTATAAATATATAAAGTTAAGTATATAAGTTTTTCCCTATAAATATATCCTTGTTATAAATGCTTAATCTTATTTCTAACTTAATTATATTCATTTCAAAAGGGACGAATTTTAAAATATGTCTTAAATATATCTAACATTCAGTTATTTTTTTCTTTTAGGAAAAAGTGTATTTTAGATTTCCTTATAATAAAGAGCAGAGGAGGGAGTATCAGGCTATCATGACTAGGTTTTATTTCTTCAATAATTTTCTCTGTCAAATTAAATGAAGATCAATGTAGAGTGGAAATTTTAATAAGAGAAAAATATTGTAATAATAATCTGAGTATAGTTGATCTGTTTTTCATCTTTATCGAAGAACCGACACTTTAACACATTAACACCTAATAATCTGATCATGTATCTTATAGAGCTCTGCTCTATAATAAATTCCTTAAAAAAAATGCAAGGAATGACAAACTTAGGGAAATATTGAGGTTTTGATATTATCAAGAACAAACACATGGCCCAAAATACACAAATTAATATCAACAACAATAATGTAAATAATTCTTAAATTATGATTCCCTATTTTGCAATTATCAATCTCATATACATATCATTAATCAAAATAACAGAGGCCAGTAGTTAGCAAGTAACATTTCTAAGCCTCTGATGCTTTTCCTCAATCCTAACTTCAGGTAGCTCTTAAAAATATTGAAGAGAAAAGAATAAGTACAATCACTCAATAATCAACGTTAATCTAGCTTATGTAAATGCATGTCAATTAATTATATCTAGGCATGAACTTATAACATAACATCATATAATTATAATAATCATCCATTTTTTACAACCACAATACTAACAATCATGTGACCGAAAATAATAAAAATGCAACATGCCACAATAATAGCAACCGTGTGACAATAAGATATCATAATATGCAAGGCCATAATAATACTAACCATTACCAAACATACAAGAAACAAGACACAAAACATGAATAATAACCGAGATTAATTAAATCCCTTATATATACTTACCATATCACAAGGGTTAAGAAGAACTTTAAGAAATTGGGATCCTAAAAAAAACCCTTTTAAAAAGCTGTTTGAGCTCAAATTATAGTTTAAAACAAATTACATAAGATAATGAAAGCATAGAAACTCATAACAACCTTAAAAAATGCCAATGGAATAGTTTGGCAAATTTTAGATTTTGTTTCGTTTGCCATGGCGCAAGCATCACCCGCCATAGCAAATGGCATAGAGGGATTACATCCTTCTTTGTGCATTGCGCCACGGTATGCCTGCCAACAACTGTCATCCTAGCACTCCAAGACTAACTTTCAGAACATGTTGTTTCGCTACCTAACATTCGATTTAAGCGACTCAAGTATCCACATATAGCTTTTAGAGCCACCTAACTATTGGCACTGATCTTATAATCAAACATTAAACCAATTGAAAGTTAGATGCCTAAATATAACATGGTCCATTTTCCTTCTAAAACAACAACCAAAATGTCCAAACTCACATACCAAGTGCCAATACCCGTGAACTACTTGAACTAACTCAAATGGATCATGAACAACTTGATTATACAGTTAAATCACAACAATAACATTCCACACAAGATTTAGCCATCAAAACTCTAAATTTAACATAATTCCAAGGAGTAACAACAATTCACAATAATCATCACTAAGATTATTCAAATACATAATTAACACTAAAACAACACTTGCTCTAATATCTCGATCCCTCACAACCATTACATCACAACTATAATATTCTAGATCGAGATACCCACAGTTTACAACAGAATTTCATGCAAGTGATCTAAAAATGACCCGTGGTCCTGAGTTGGCATATGTATAAATAAATTATCACAAACCAAAAGATAGAGGAAGGATTATATAATTACAAGTCCCCTCAATGTTCAATAGTACCTTCCTTCCTTATACTTCTATCGAAGCTTTCACCTGTAAAATATAACCACAAGGTGAGTTGACGACTCAGTAACCAAATAGTCTAAACAAACTACTCATGTTGAGAATAGTTAATGGGTATGTGAGGTGACATTTAAAACACATATAACAAATTACACACACACACACACACACACACACATATATATATATATAGCTATAAAATGATATGTTTTATCAACACACCGTCTTATACCTTCCTTATATCTTCATACTAAATCTGTGGACTGACTACTCAATAGAATTAAATCCATATGATTTGATTGGTTCAAACTTACCAATCATGAGAGGCAGCCTCGGTCAAGAGCACCTTCACCCATTATGGACCACAAATTCTCCCTATCCACGAATACTCAGGGTGTCAATGCCTAATTTATCTCACATAGTACTAGGACTTCTAAACAAATATATAATTGTGCACTGAGGCTTCCATGGTACTAGTATACTATATGAATTTTCAAACAATGTCCCCAACACCACACTAAGGTGAACTCCCACCCTCTTACAATAATTATGCCAAACACGTGCTTAATAATTCCACACATAACCATAACCTAGAATTTTCACTATAATAATCATTCCACCATAAACCATAGAATTTTATAAATACTTATACTTGAATATAGGATTTAGTCTTCAAAACCATAATGTTGAAAACATGATTTTCCATTTCACTTCACATGAAGTTTCTAAATTATAATTATTTCATATTAATACTATGCTAGTACAAACAAGAGTATTAACTTTAATAATTATCAAACAACCATCCAAACATACAAATAAAAAGTTTAAAAAATCTAGTTACCTCAACCCTTTTGTCATTAAAAGGGTTATCGTAGTCAATCAATGACCCCACATATGTCCACTAGTGTAATAACGCCTGATTAATATTCAATTTACAAGATTAAACATTTAATCATCAATTCACACACTAATTAACCCCTTAATTTAACATCACCAACTCTCCCAACACATTCCATTAATCTCAATTAGCACCCAAACACTCTAATAACACCAATCTTCTATCCACATTGCTCTTAAACTCTCAAATTCTACTTAGGGTTCATTCAAATCCTAACCAAAAACTCCAAATCACTATACAATCCAATATCCTAAGTTTAAAAGCTTGATTTAATTCTTCAAAACTTTAACTAAGGCAATGGGTTAGGTTACAACCTAAAAAGAGACAAAACCAAGCCCCATCCCGTACCTAAATTCATCAAAAATTATAAAAGAGGAAGGGGAGGAATAGGAAGGTTATCAAATGATGATTCTTGCTCAAAATACCCTTGAAATGCTCTCAAGGTCATGCCCTAGCACCCACAAGTTCTTCCTTTGTCGCTCCTCTCGATTTTTTTCTTTTTCCTCTCTCAAATCAGATGCGTTCCACATCTAGTTTAAGCCAAAATTTGGCTGTGCACCATGGCATATGGCACAACAAGTGCTATCTGCCATTTTGACCTCTCACTCAAACCCAGTGGATCCGTACACTATTTTAGCTCATTTTCAAGACTGTCTAAAGGTTTAAAAACCTTATTAGTGTCTCAAAAACTATTAATTTACAAATCACTCATTTTGACTAATTTGCCCTCCTAGATACTTGAAGTTTTAAAGTTTGAAATCTAGGATATTATAACTTCGCTCTA